TCCCAGTTACCCAGGCTACCAATCTATTCTCCCAACCTATTCTTGGCTGCTCACTCTTTCATCCCACCATATCCAAACTGTTGCCAAGTCCTATTGATTTTAACTTTGTAACATCTCTGGTATACTTCCCCTTCCCTCCTCTGACAATGCCACCTCTCTGGTGTAGGCCCTTATCACCTGGACTATCACAATAGTCTGTCGATTTGTCTCCCTGCCTCCACTCAGCTGTCAAATTAATCTTCTTAAAGCGCAGATCTGATCATGTCATATCCTCAACCCCACCCCACTGGTTTTCTATTACCTCTAGGATCAAATACAAAATCCTGTTTGGCATTCAAAGGCCTTTACATCCTGGCCCCCTCCTGGCTTTCCAATCTTCTTATACCTTACTTTCCTCTAGCTACTCTGTGATCCAATGACACTTACCTCCTTGCTGTTTCCCTCACAAAACACTCCATTTTCATTCCCTAAGCATTTTACTGGATGTTCCCTATGCCTGGAATACTCTCCCTTCTCATCTCTGCCTCCTTGGTTCCTCAAACTACCAGCTAAAATCCCACCTTCTATGAGAAGGCTTCCTTGATCCCCTTATAATGGTATTGTCTTCCCTTTGTTGAGTTTTCATTTATTTATCTGATTTATTTATCCATTATTTAGCCAATTTATTCTGGATATACCTTGTTTATATATAGTTGTTTGCATGTGGTTTCTTCTGTTCTGCTCCATTCCTTGAGAGTGTTGTTTTGTTATTCATTTGTTTCAGTAGTGTCTGACTCTTCATGACCACATTTGGGGTTTTCTTGGCAGAGAGACTATAGTGCAGTTTGCCATTTCCTTCTCTAGCTCATTTTACAGATGAGGAAATGGAGGTACAAAGGGTTAAGTGATTTGCCCAGGGTCATACAGCTAGAAAGTGTCTGAGGCCATATTTGAAGTAAGGTCTTCTGACTGCAAGCCTGGTGCTTTATTCACCACACCACCTAGTATTGCTTTTATCTTTCTTTGTTTTCCCAGGGCTCAGCACAGCACCTGGCACATAGTAGGCACTTAATAAATACTTATTGATCAACATGTTTTTTCTGGCCATATTGTAAGCTCCTCAAGGGCAGAGTTTTATTCTTTTCTTTGTGTCTCCAATTCCTGGCACAGTGTCTGTCCACTCTCTGATCTGCGACTACTCCTTTTTCTCTCTGGACCCTGGTGACTCCCTCATATACCTGTTTGTCTTTCATATGTAAATATTTGCCTTGGTTTTTAACTTGGCATATAGACTAGGTAATTAATAAATTCTTTTCTAAAATTAGCTTTTGTTGATGTTTTCTGTTTCTTATATCATCATAGTTATTACCAGTGTACTTACCCCTTCCCTTTCCAGAAAGTCATCCCATATAACAGGTTTTTTTAAGAGGAAAAAAAAGTCAGTGTAACCGATTGATATATTGAAAAAAATCTGAAAACATGTGTAATGTGTAACACCTGTGAACCTTTCACCTCCACAAAGGGGAAGGCTGGAGGTGTCTTCTCATATCTCTTCATGTTTGAGCTTTATGATTTTGTTACATTCATTTTTGATTTTTGTGTGTATGATTCTTTCCATTTACATTGTTGTTGTCACTGCATACCCTGTTTTCTTAGCTCTTCTTACTTCATTTTGCATCAGTTCATGTATATCTTTCTATGCTTCTCTGTATTTATCACATAAATCATTTCTTACAGCATGGTAACATTCCACATTACATTCATGTGCCATAATTTGTTTAACCATTCCCTAATCAATGGGTATGTACTTTGTTTATAATTCTTTGCTAACAAAAAAAGTGCTGCTATACATTTTTTGGTGTATATGGGGATTTTCTTCTTATCAATGGCTTTCTTGGACTATAAGCCTAGTAATGGTGTCTCTGACTCAAAGGATATGGACATCTTGGTCATTTTATATACATGATTCCAAATTGCTTTCTAAAATGGTTGATGATCTCACAGCTCCACCAATAACATACTGGTGTCTTTATCATTCTATAACCCCTCCAACATTGACTATTGCCATTTTTTGTCATCTTTGCCCATTTGCAGGGTATGAAACAAAACCTCAAGGTTGTTTTGATTTGTATTTCTCTTATTAGTGATCTGGAACATTCAAGTCATAATGAGTACTTTGCAGTTCTTTTTCTGAGAACTTTTTGTTCCTATCCTTTGACCACTTATCTATTAGAGAATGGCTATTAGTATATATATATATATATATATATATATATATATACACGTACATATATATGTATGTATACATACACATACACATACATACACATACATACACGTATATATCATGTATATGCATATATATATATATATATATATATGTCTCGGACAACAAACCCTCATCACAAAAATTTGATACAAAGATTGTTTTTTCCCATTTGACCACTTTCCTTCTTATCCTAGGTGTGTCAATTTTGTCTGTGCAGAAGCTCTCCATTTTCAAATAATCAAAGTTATCTATTTTATCTTTTAAATAATAGTAATTGTAATAGCCTCAGTCTCTTGTTTGGTTAAGAATACATCTTTTACCCATAGCTATGAGGTATACAATCTGTTCCTCTTCTAATTTTTTAATAGTATGATCTTTAATATTAAGGTCATGTATTAATTTAGAATATATTGAGGAACATGGCATAAGGTGTTGGCCTAAGCCTAATTTCTGCAAGTCAGTTTTCCAGTTTTCCCAATAATTTTTATCAAATAGGAGCTTTTTTTCTCCCTCAGTAATTTGTTTTCCACTTTATCAAACACTGGGTTATTGAGTTCCATTGTTTCTGATTCTCCTTTGTCTAGTCTGTCCATTGAGTTATCTTTCTATCTTTCATCTACCTTTCTGTTTTTTTCTTTATCAATACCAGATGGTTTTGATGACTACTGCTTTATAATATAGTTTGAGATCTAGAAGTGCTATTTCCCCTTCACCTCTACCTCTTTTTTTTTTTGGCATTCAAGCTCCCACAGTTCTTTATTTGGATGTGGATAGCATTTTCCATCATGAGACTTTTGGAGATGTCATATATTCTTGCATTGTTAAGAAGGGCTAAGTCTATCAAAGTTAGTCATCCCATAACGTTGCTGTTATTGTGTACAACATTCTCCTGGTTCTGCTCACTTCACTAAGCATCAGTCCATACAAATCTTTCCAGGTTTTTCTGAAGTCTGTCTGCTCATCATTTCTTATAGTACAACAGTATTCCATTACATTCACACACCACAACTTGTTCAGCCATTCCTCAATTGATGGGCATCCCCTCAATTTCCAATTCTTTGCCACCACAGAAAGAGCTGCTATAAGTATTTTTGTACATATGGGTCCTTTTCCCATCTTTATGATCTCTTTGGGATACAGCCCTAGAAGTGCTATTGCTCACCTCTACCTCTTTTCATCATTTTCCTTGATATTTAAGATCTTTTGCTTTTCCAAATGAATTGTATTATTTTATTCAAGTTCTATAATGGTATCCCCTTGGTAATAAGGTATAAAATTAAAAGTGTCAATTAATTTTAGAAATAATAAAATTTTTATTATATTGGCACAGTCTAACCATGAGCACTGAATATTCCTCCAGCCATTTAAGTTGTTCTTTATCTCTTTATCTAGCACTTGGGAATTGAATTTATAAACGTTTTTATGTTTTCATAGATCAATCCCCAGATATTTTATGCATTTTGGTTTTCCGAAATGAGATTTCTTTCTCTATTTTGCTTCTTATGTTTTGTTATTATAATATAGAAAAATATTGAGTTTTGAATAAGCTAGCTGACTCCTCTGCCTGAAATTTTCTCTTTCCTCACCTCTGCCTGCTCAGCTCAGCAGCCATCTTTTTCCTGCTTTTAGCTTCTAGTCTTTTTGACTCCTGCACTCCTCTTCATAGCCTTGTATTTACTTTTTATATATTTTGTAGATAGATATAGATGTTGTTTCCCTCAGAATGTAAACATTTTGTTTGTTTTTCTATCCTCTACTCCTAATAGTACTAATACTTTTTTTTTTAACTGAACTTGTGATTTCATCTGTGCTCTTTATGAAGAACACCCTTCACCCATTCAGACAGACACCTACTATTTGATTTAATCTCATGTCTGGGGTTAAAGCAAAGACCCCTGGGTTCAAAGATTTACAGGAAATTGGTATTTGGGAAGCTCGTACAGGCTTGAATTGGATTACTATGCAGCAAAGTAAGTAGACAAAAAGCAAAGTGCACACACACACACACTGACAGACAGACACAGGGACAAAGATGGTGGGAGATAGGGACCATGGCAAAGGTCTTGGTGGCAATACATACTCAAGTGGGGTCTGAAGAGGGAAATGTTATTCCTTAAAGATGGGCTTGGTCTAGAACAGGTAATAGATACCAGATATAGGAACAAATAAGAGATGCAATATATAGGAGGGGACATTCCTAATCAGACCGTGGTGGGGAAATGCCCCAGGTCACTTATTGATATCAGATTCAGGTCGGGAGTTTCCAAATTCTAATCTGATATTAGGTAAGGATTTGAGTTGACAATCGAGAATCCCAAGAATGGTTGATGGCTAGCCTTGTCCAGTCAGAAGCTGGGATTATTTACATGTTTAACATAGGATCAGGATTAAGTCAGGACAATGGAATAGCACACTGCCTTATACGTATCTGGTTATTATAGCCTATGTGACTCCACATTGAAGCACTATGATTTAAACCTAAGCCATCAAAAAAATATTGAAAAAAATCACAATAATCCCATCTCCCTTGCAACTTGTAGGACTAGAGTTGCCTGGGGGCACTGATAGTTTAAAGTGACTTGCCCAGGGTCACACATCTAGTGTGTCTGAGATTGGACTTGAACCCAGAAGCTTTCCTGGCTTCAAGGTGAGCTTTCTATCCACTGTGGCAGTCTGCCTTGACTGACACATGATAGATACTTAAATGTTTGTTGATAGGAGGCATTTAATAAATTTTTTAATTGAATTGCAGCCTCATTACATGGAGAAAGGCAGTTAGAACATTCCACAATCAAGCTTGTCAGAAACCCTGCTTAATCCTAAACATTTCTAACATATAGAAGGTAAGAATTCTCTAATTACTTTGTACTCTTTTGTACCTTATTTTCATCTAAGAAAATCATTAACAACTCTGAAATAACATAGAAAGACAAACTTTAAACTATGATTCAGAAGTGAATTCAGAAGTGACTAAGTTTGATCTTGTCTAGCCTGTGGCTAAAAAGTATGACATGCTTATTTTGAAATATCTTAGCGTTTTAAGGAAATACAGCAGAGCCTTTATTACAATCTTGATTTCATTTTGCTCTCTCAGTACTTACTATCACTTGCAAGTCCCTGGTACGAGGCCACGCATCAAGGAAGCACCTTCTTCATTTTCCAATTGTGTTGTATCTTTTATTTCAACTTAGCACATTTGACAAATTCTTTCAGGGAGTAAACTAAAGAACTCAATCTTATTTACAGTCTAACATGTTATTGCAGATATACTTTATAGGAAATAGTCATTGAGAGGAAAGCTGAGCTATTGATACAACTTTCCCCAAAGAAAAAGGGGAATTTAACAGGTGACCTGTCATTTTTCCTTTACAATGTTGTTCAGAAAAACCCTTACTCTTCTCTCTCCTTCTAGGGGACAGCAGGCCCCATATTAAATTGGAATATTATAGGATCATAGATTTAGAGCTTGAAGGGATCTCAGGAGCCATCTGGTTCAAATCCATTTTACATGTGAGAAAACTGAAGTCCAGAGAAGCTGTGACTGGCCCAAGGTCACATGGATAAGTGCTGAGGCAGGATATGAACTTAGTTTCTTTGACTCCAGAGCTAGTTCTTTCCTCTATATTATGATAAATTGTGTTTCTCTGTGTGCTGATCAGGTGGTACAATTTTTATCTAAGCTTTATTTTATTGGTGCACAATGAAACACCTATGGATTAATCTTTGAGGAGAAAAAAAATTGTCTTTTAAAAACTCACTTGTAATAAAGGCAGGGCTAATTTGGAAGTGTTAAGACTTAAGGCAAGACTGTACTACCACTACACATAGTAGTCCTCATCTGAACTAGTATTTAATCTTTTCCTATTTTTCTCAAGTTACAGCCAATCACAGAATTTCAAAGTTGAAAGGGATTCATCAACCATCTAGTCCAACCTAGTCCCGAAAAGGGAATCCCCACTCTGCTCTACTTAAGAAATGGCCATTCGAGCTTCTGGTCTTTGTTGAATACAGCTAGATCCCAGTTAGTATGAACAATGAATCCTACAAAGTAGTCCCATTATTAAAATTCAGACCACATTATTTCTATTGGGCTGAAACCAATGACTATATTTTACATAATTATAACTTAAAATGTTATAACTTAAAATATTTTACATAATTATAACAACTTAAAATATTAAAGTATTATTAAAAATAAATGGAGTTGAACTAGATGGTTCCAAGGTCCCTTCCAGCTCTAAATCTAAAATATTAATGAAATTTAAATACTTGGGACCACTTTACAGGATTTGTTATTTGCACTAATCAAGACCTTGTTGTATATTAAGTCTGCTCAAAGGCCTGAATTCTATTGTTTTAATTGAAGAATCCCTGAAGAAATCAGCCTTTATTTTCGCCTGACCCTGGGCTGTTCTTTGCTTAATACAAACAACTTGTGCAGTTGGGGTAAGAAACTCAGGTCATCTAATTGCAGCTGATCTTTCTAGATCTGTAAAAATTGTGACCTAGGATTCTCCTGAACAGGCAAGAAAACAAGAATGTAAGTTTCCTCAATTAACGTGGTTTATGACCACATCATAGTAAAACTTAAGTGTGCCAATGGTTTCCTGTAGGCAACACAGCACTTTGGAAACACCAGAGTAAAATAAGGGATTCATTACTAATTCTGTGTTTGATTGGCATAGGAAGGATGAGACATTAGACTATATGACTTCTATCAGATGAGAATTTTATGTGAACTGTGATTTTTTTTCTTATTGGTCATTACTTTCTTAAAATTTAAAAACAATATTTAATATCATCAGCTACTTTTCTGCCTGTTAAGAAAAACCTTTTACTTATAAATCTTCAGGAATGACTTAAATCATGTTATGGGCTAAATAAATGAAATATCTTAAATGTCAGTAACTTCAAAGAGTCCCCAAACTAAATTTAATTGATGATACAAATGCCTGTGGCAGCATGTAGCAGACTGGAGTCTTGTCTTAAATAGGTGATAAAATGGTGAATTATAGTCCTTCTTGTATGACTTAATTGTCAAAGAGAGACATAAAACAGACTGCTCATGTTAATATTAAAACCCCTGTGCTTGTTTCTCTCTCTTCACCCCTCCCCCAACCCTTTTTGCTCTAATCTGTAGACTAATGTGTTTAAACATAACTGGCCTAGGAATGACAGCTGACTTTATTCCTATTTAGTAATTTATTAGTCTACAATCTTGGATAAAAATAGCCTAATCTCACAGGAGCGTAGAATTAGAGCTGGCAAGGAACTTGAAGGACATCCAGTCCAACTTCCTCACTTTACAGATGAGGAAACTGAGGCACAAAGAGATGAAATGATTTGCTCAAAGTCACAAGCGATTTTCCCATTCTACAGCATGAGAACAAATTCTGAAGCTTGTTAGGATATGTATTAACACTCAAAAAGTACTTCTTGGAGAAGTAGCAAGTGATACAACCGCTTTATAAAGTTTCTCTTACAATTAAAGTGGCCTGTAGCTGTTTGCACCCTGGTGCTCCATGCCTAGAATGCATCTTAGAATCCCTGGTTTCCTTCAAACCACAGCTCCCATGCTACTTCCTACACAAGTCCTAAGTTGCTCTGCCCTGAAATAACTTTAGATGTATCTGCTATTTATTTAATGGCGGCTCATGCTTTGTCTCTTTTTCCTCCCTTCAGCGGAAAGCAAGCAACCTGAAGGGACTATTTTGTCTTTGTGGTCCTAGCAGTAAAATGCCCTGTACATAAGTATTTAATAAATGTTTTGGTGCCTTGCTTCTCCCTAATGTGCCTATATCACAATACAATTATCCCTTCCACATCATGAGAGTTAGGGGTGGGATGCCTTTGCGATCTGGAAAATCCACGTAAAATTTTTTGGCCCTTCCTTCATACCAGAGAAGTCTGAATTTTTCCTTTTTCTTTTATGAGGTGTTTACAGTACCTTATTGTAAAATTTGGGTTAAGTATTTGGCCATAGGCTATATGTAGGTCAATGTTAGCTAAAAATAATGTATGAAAAAGAAATTTCTGAGCTTCTAAACGTTTTCTGTGTTACCTGATGGCCTTTTTTGCATGTCTTCTGCAGCTTCTGCAAAACTCCCCAAAAATTCCAATTTAATTTCTTATGCACAACATATCAAAACCACAATGGAGAAAGTTGCATTGTGGAAAGGATAACTGTACTATTATAGTATTTAACCCTCTTTAAGGTTTGAGGAATACAGCACTCTTTTTATACTATTTACCTCAATTATTTGTAATGAAACATTATTTCTTTAATTTGAATATTCCCTCCACCATTGAGACAGAAACCTTTCCATGCCTTAGTAGATGGTCTTCATGAGCAGCTTTGGCCAAAAACAAGGCATCTGGTGGTCAACCAGGTGATTTGAGTATCAGACCAAAAAAAGTTCCAAAAATTTATCTTACAAACTTATTACAAATGCAATTCAAATTTAGTAAAGCAAACCTGTAACAAAGGATTAACTACATTTAAAAGTCTCAGCACCGATTTTTCTGCTTCTTTTTTTTTCCAGCAATAAGTAGTATTAAAGTACATGTGGCAAAAATCCTCCAATTACTCATTTGAGATTTCTGTATTCTATATTTCTTCCTCCAAGGCCAGACTTCAGTTTTTCCCAAGCATCTTGGGTTTAATTCATATCCCAAATGCTACTGTTTTTAACAACAATGAAACAAAATGGCATAGAGTGGCAGTCACAAAACTTTACTTAAGACAGTAGTGATTATACTTACAAAGTCTCATTATGCATAGCACAAGGAAGGGAACTACTTCTTTCCAGAGTTAAGCCACAATGTAATTTCGAACTAGAACAAAATAGGAACTCAACTCTTGTAGGAGAGAGCTTAACCTACACCAAGGTAAAGATGTAGATTGGTAGAAACACCAAGCTACAAGGCCATATTGGGCTATTTCCTAATAAAGTAAAGTATTATTAGCAACACTATATCATCTTTCCCTAAAAGGGTAGCCTTTGTACATATTCATGTAAAAAAGGCTTTGTAGGCTAATGGTTCATATATGCAAAAGGGTGTGATGAAAGCTTTACTGTGTACAAATGTAAATAGATAAAATCAAATCACATAATACATCAATAGTTCTTAAAATGTGCTATTTGCAAACTTAATACCCTTGTAGTATGCACTACATTTCACAGTATTTGGTATACTGATTAGAATGATGATGAAGCAGTTTACTTATTCTATCCTCAGAAAGCAACTGCATCCAAGCACAGCAAGAGTATCCAGAATGTAGCTACCATCACCCTCAAAGGCAGCATGGCGTGGGGGAATGGTCAGGACATCCGGGAAATCAATTCCTGGCTTTGATTGTTACATGGTCTCTCTGTGGTTGTTTCCTCATGTGTGGATTTTAAAAAATCTACTATCTTACCATATGGGGTTGTTATAAACAAAGTGCTCTTTTAAACCATAAATAATTATATAAATGTGAGAGTTAAAGTGCAAAGCACAGTCAGCCAAGGTCCCAATTAGTGTGAATAATGAATCTGGTGAAGTAGTTAGCATCATTCAAATTCACAATGTACCATTGGGTTGGCACTAATTATTATAATCATAATTTCAAATAGTACAGATTTGAATACATGTGCCCACTTCACAGTATTCATTATTCTAATTGAGACCTAGATTTATGTACAACCAAACATAATTCCAATATACAGTTTCTCCACCCTACCCTCATTTGATTAAATTAAGCCAGTCAATCCATACTACACAGGAAAACTAGTTGAAGGTTTTATTTATATAAAATTCATTATTAAAGAACATAAAAGACTGAGTTTTTCCTTAAAAAATCTGCAGTTATTTACAGCAGTATTGCACAAGTAAAGTGACAATTACCCTGTCAAAAATTCATCAGTGCAAAACACAAGTAAGCCAGGGAAATTGCAATAAAAATGCTACATATGCTGGGTCCTATGAAACAAAGTAAGTGATTAATCAGTCTAAGTTACAGATCAGTGCTATGTACATAACGGTACCTGATGAGTTTGTACACAGTATTAGTGGTCTTGAAACCAGGGTACAAAATGTTTACAACCTCTGAAATCCAAAAAAAAATACCTAAGTAGTCAAGTTATTTACATGAGAACTTGAGGGTGCTTCTTGTGTAAGGAAATGTGTGCATGTGTAAATATCAAGTTACACAGCTGATTTACCTGTGTGCATGCACTAAAGCTCCCATATATCATGTGTATGAGTGCTGAGTAATTGACACACATGTAGGCACCAAGCTAAGCTGCAAAAGCAGAGCTTTTTGCTTGTTATATATGGAACCTATCAGTAAATACATTTTCTTAAAATGTTCACAACTTAGCACATCCTAATAGTCAATTAAAGATTTTTCATTTGGACTCAAAAATAATCTCTTTTGAGGGAAGTACAAATTAAACCAAGGCCAAACTAATAGGAATATAGAAATACTGTGGATTACTATTCCATTGAGGGGCAGGCAGGATAAACCATGTTCTAACTGCAAAGTAAACCACACAAGGAAGATTTTAAAACAAGGGAACTTATACCCCCATCAGCTTGCTACCAGTGAAGTGGCTGGGGGTGGGGTGGGGGGTGCGACAAAGTAAAAAGACAAAAACACAGGATCTTAGTCTTGTTTCCTTCCTAACAAATGAAGGAGAAAAAATGCCAGGGGAACCAAGCACGGTAGTTGATCTTTTGTCCGCTTATCCCATGGATCCCAAACTTCGGCAACCTTTATAATCTGATCATCTTTTTGTTTTTCTCAACACTGACAAATCAGTGGCTGTAAACTTTTCCCAAATGCTAAATATATTTATACCTGAAGATGGGACTTAGAGCAAACATAATCTGCTATGGTTTACAACTGCAACAGCTTGGCTAATGCTTTGAGTAGATTCCAGCATTTGGCTATTATCAGCTCCCTCAGCGCTAAAAACCACAATCGGCAAAGCCTAAAAGTTTAATAAAAGTAAAATGAACAAGAATGAAGTCTGGAGGACCACAGTAGAAAAACCATACCGACAGCACTGAAAGAGACAGTGCGTTAAACTGATCAATCACTCCTTCTGTGTTAAAGCAGATAATCTTGGGGAGGGAAAGGGAATGCATAACTTTACAAACTTGAGAAATTAAATAAGCAGAAAATAAATATACAATATTCCTACAAGTTACAGCATTATGAAACAGTAGAACACATTACACAGAAAAGAATCTACATATTTACAAATGCAAATTCTAAAAAAAAAATAAGAGGTTTAGAAAACAGTGATTTTTTACTTATTTACAAAATCTTACAGAAAGGACAAAAGAACCACACACAATTGCACACAGACATTTGGCTCAGTTGATAAGATAAAGAAAAGATTCCTAAGCTAATAAATATTTAAGTATTTACAATAAAATAGAAGAGGGGTTTAAAGGGAGGGAATGAGGGGAAATTTTTAGACAAATTTTTATGTCAGAAGAAATTTAAACTGGTTTCTCCACAACCAAAGAAAATTCTTCATAAAGTTTTGGCAGGATAGAAAAGATATGTAATCTGAAAAATTCATCATGAAATTATTTTGTATTTGCTTATTGCATTTCAGTGTTATGCCATGGGAGACTTACTACAAACCCAACATGGGTAGAGGTTGTCAAGGCACAAAATCTGTATTGTTTTCAAAAAGTGGAACGAGTTCTTTCTTCAAAAAAAAAAAAGTATACCCAAGGTATACTCCTGCAGGAGGCATCGTGATCTCTAAGAGATACAGTACAGAGAAATGTATTTTTCTCTCAAACTCATGGTGCCAACATCCTGTTCTTTACTGCTTCCATAATTCATAGAATTTTTCTAGCTCCTTATTAGGCTTATTTACATTATCAGCCTGAAGCAATGAAGGCAAACCTGCTGCATACAATGCTTGAGGTAAATGTACAAGAAAGGACATGAATCCCCACTGGGGCACTGAACCAGCAGAGCCTTACAAAAATGTCCTTTTATAAATTGCATTGCTTCCAAATCCCAGGGGAGATGTATAGTTAAAAGAAACAGAAGTAAAGTGCTCCAGTTGTAGAAATTAGCAAATGACCATAGATATCCAAGTAAGGGATTCAGGTGGAACCAAACATCTTTGGCGTGTCCAGCAAGGTACACAAATTCTAATACTTTGTTACAGTCTCTGTTCATTCTCACAACCAATTGACAATGTGACCTTACTAAATAAGGTTTCAAGACTAATTCAAGAAACCACAGCTGAGATCCAACACAATTCTTATGACTGATTCCAAATCACTAAGAGGGAAAGAAATATCCTTCAGTGTAAGAGAAAGAAAAAATTCTCTGAATACATGGAAAAGATGGATATACCAAAAAGAAAAAGTGTATGTAATTACAAAACCACATATTCAACATATTTTTTCTTCAATTGTTAAGCAGAATTACAGGAACACTGGATCCTCTAAGGGGCAAAAGCGAATACAATAGCTGTTGGCACTGCTGAAACTTGACAATCCAAAAAGAACTTTGAAACAAAAAGTTGCTCAGAAGGCTGATTTTTCATCATGAAAAAGTTGTGGGGTTCATGAAACAGTCCCCCAAACCATCTGACCTCCCTCTCCTATTTGTGGATACACAATGCAAACTCCATGGACCTTTTTTCTTTGAAATCAATTAAAAATAAACAGAAACCTCTTTAGATTTACTCTGTGACTTTTCTAGTCCTGACTTTGTAGCAATTTCAAGATGTAAAAGAGTATCATCAGGAGTAGGATCACATCTAAGGGAAACTGCACCTGTCATGGAAGAGGCACTGATGACCGGTGCATAAAATTCATTTAAAAATCTACTTGTGAAACTAAAAGGTAAGGAGGAAAATGGCACTCAAAGGCTGAGAGATGGCTTGAGACATTAAATATATTGGAACATTTCATCATTATGCCCAATTAAATTTTTCTATGGTAATGGCGAAACCAGAATTAAACCTGTACTTCCAAAGGAATTTGAGTCGGAGGATATCAGGCATCATAGGTTAATGAGATTCTAAATAAAATCTCACTGATAAGTCTTTTGAAACTGTCAAGTGAAGGAGCTTCCTCCAATCCCACCTCAGCTGGCAAGGCATTTCCTGTTTAGTTATATCATCGGGCAATCAGGACAACTGGAGACTCCCCAAAGAAGATAGAGAGTGCTTGAAGGTAGCCTCAAGTTTGACCCCTTGGACAGTCAATTGGCCACAGATGCAAATAAATTTAAAGAGAGGTTAGGTATTTACAAAGGGAGAAGCATGTTGGTGTAGGTTGACAACCTACCCCTTTTTAACCAGCTCCATTTTATTATGCTGATTTTGGTATAAAGATAGTACAGACTAAAGAGGACAGAACAACAGGGGAGACACACTTCTCCCAGCTGAAAAGAAAAGAGAAGAAAAGAAAACTGTACAATAATCCCCCCAAAACAAACTAAGGCAGCTTACAAATTATTAGCCGGCTCAGTTTCCACTGCAGGATATATACACATCGTCCTCTTTTGAGACTAAGCAACAGGTTCTTAAAATTTAGTACAAAAATCATCCATGAGTTTGTCAAAAAGTTTCCATTTCCTTTTTGAAAACTTGTTTCTTCTTATTAAAGAAGCTGAAAAACACACCAATGTAAACACCACTCTTGCATAAAGTCCTACTTCAAAGAATGGTGATTGATACATTTAAAAAAAATCCATCATCTACATTCACCATGAACTCCCTTTTATAAAATTTTGTTAAGTGATGAACAAAATCCACTTTCAAGTTCACGTACAGGTGTCTTCAAAAATAAGGAGTCCTACTGCCCCTCTGTCCTTTACGGAAAAAACCTGTTGATTGCATAGTAATGATATGAAGATGACTTGTAGCAAGTAAAAAGTTTCTGTGCACTCCTTGCTTCTCAAAGAAACATCACTGCATTCTCCAAACAAGGCGGATGATGTAACGTAACAGGCGTAAAATAACCATTTGGTGATCCGCTTGATAGTTATTATCCAAAAACCCCTGCAACAAATGGAGACAAACCATTTAGTATTGTACCTTTTTGATACAGAATGATTTAATCATCCCCTCCTCCATTTTAAACAGTCTGAAAGTTACACTTAGAAGATCTACTATAATATCAAAGTGAACGCACTGATACTTTCTTCCCAGCAGTCATTTCTACTTTTTGGTTAATAAGTTTCCTCCTCAATAATAAGGTGGTTATTAGGGAACGAGGAGCGTATATATGCAACACAAGTGTAAAAGACAGAAAACCCACTAGAGCCCATAATTTTTTCCAGGGGCATGTATTACCATCATGTTCTGTCCCTCTTATGTCAATTATGACAGTCCAGGCTCAGAGTGTTATAATGGGGGTGGGGAGGGAGAGAAATTTAGCCGGTGGAAGACAGAAATTTCTCTCAATTTACCTGGGGTAAACTTCATTGCACTGGGACTCCAGCCTTCCCAACCTCTCAATATTGCTCCATTAAATTCTTTAGGGAGTCCCAAGCCCTAGCATGAAAAACCCTGGTATAATTTAATGGGGTTTATAACAGATTAAAGAAAAGGGGATAGAAGACAGAGAAAAGAAGAAAAAGTAACTTATGGTATGTACTGAGTATAATTCTATCATTGTCAAAATTGTTGACTCAAAAAAAAAAGTTTCAGATTCCCCCCAAGGGTGAATTCTGGTAGCTATAATTTATTTAAGAAACCAGTGATTTGGTGTAATTTGCCCTAAGAAGCTAAATAAAGTTACAGACAATCTGTGCCAGAACTAATGAACTAGTGAACCTCTAATTGCTCTCAAGTGACTCCACCTGTATAAACACTGTTTGGTCAAGATTGGTGCTCAATATGAACAGAAAAGAAACATAAAGCTACCTTCATTCTTTCCCACCCCAAGGGAAAAACACTGCAAAAAAGAGCTTTTTTCATTTTTTCCAGTGATCATCATTTATTTCAATCTAAGAAACTCTGGAAGCATTCAACAACCTGTTAGAAATGTTAGGGAACATGCAAAAACTATTTTAAGGTTTCCAGAGGCAAATTTGGGTCTTCCAGGGTACCTTCTCCCCTGGGTTGTTTCCACTTTGTAAAATAATTATGTGTTGATAAACATGTGTCTTCACATGCAAATGCAATCTACAGGTTTCATTGTTAAAAGTATGAAATCTGGCCATTTCCTCATTGGGTAACCCCAAGATGAAACCTAGAATTATCTATACAAAGATAATAAATAAATACTCTCTTCTTTATTGCACCAAGTGAAGAACATTCTTAATTAGACCCTAGAGATGGTTTCTTTTAAATGACTCCAATTCACTGTCACAGAACTCACCCTTGTCTTCCACTAGATAGAGTAACTATTCTTAGAGGGTAGTGAGCACCTTTCAGATTTAAAACAATGCAAATCCTACACCAGCTGCAACTGGATTTTCTTTCTCTAAACTGTTTACATGAGCTCTCAAACTCTAGTTTGACATAATGGGATTGTGATAAGGCCTGGGCATTTCCCTTTTGCCTCTCCCTAACAAGATGGGAGGAAATCACTTTATGTATGCAATTCCTGTAGAGGCACTCTGTAACCACAGTCTATGATTTTTATCTTTCTGCACACAAGATTGCTTTGTTTTGATTTAACTTTCAAAATTACATTGCTTTTAGTATGTGAGAGTAATTTGATGGTAGGTTAATTTTAAGTTGAAATGAATATTAATAGGCTAAGAGAGACACTTAGTCAAAGTAAAACTAAGATTTACTATAAACTAAGTTTGAACTCACTGATAATCTCAAAACACTCATTTGAAGATAGGAAATGTCTGAGTGAGTGAGTTATTATGCCAAAGCTGTCCACTGTCGCACTGCTAAAAAATAAACTTATTTGATACAATAGCTAAGAATTTAATTCTGCTACTAAGCAGCTGATTTGTTTCTTTATGGCCAGGAACAGCCAATCAACAAAACATCAGCACCTGTCTCCAAAACAAGTGACTCATTATAAGAAATTATAATAACAATGGTTCATATTTATATCATGGTTTGCATTGTGTTCAAAGTGCTCTCTCATTTGTTGTCTTATTTGATCTTCACAATAATGAGATGGGGAATATGTATATTGATGCTATAGCTCCATTTTACCTGTAGCAAACTGAGAATCCAGAGAGACTAAATGACTTGCCTGAGGTTACACAGCTGGCAAAAGTAGCAGAGCTGGGGCTCAAAGCTGACTTCAACTCCAATCCCAAAGCTCTTGAAACCATGCCACACTGCCTAGATTAACAAAAATACTGTTACTAAAAGAAGACTTCATTTCCCAATAATCAGTGTTCAAAAGGAGAAAAATAATTTTGCTTATACTTAAAGAATAGTGGGAACAGAATGATGGCTGAGTTCAAAGGTGATTAAGGAAATCAATTTCAAAAAATTTTCCTCTAAGCCATAGCAGTTTCTGATCTCCATTTAGTGTTTTGGGGCAACAAATGTGCTCATACAAAATAAATACATGCTGTTTCTGAACAGTCCTAAAATTCTCAAGGTTGCCATGTTGAGAGTTTTAAAAACAAAAGATAGTAAATTTATATACATGGATTTGATGAAAGTGAGTATAAACAGGACCCCAAAAACATTGCAAGTAAAGGAATATGATATAATCAGGAAGAAAATGCCAATACTTTCAAAAAGAGAAACACTAACCAGACAATTTAAAACCCCTTAAGCTGGTTCAATATATAATTATGTTTGGACAGGATTCAACTTAGGAAATAACCACTTTCAAATCAAAAACACTTACCAGCTCAGAAAATCCTTGATGGATAGCTAGCACAACTGGTTAAATTTGCTAGCTATCTAATATTTAAGATCCTTACTAACATGACTAGATGGTAAGCATTATGGGGGGAGGTGGGAAAGAGAAGACCACACCTATGATTTCGTCACTCTAGGAAACTCCTGGTGTAGAAATTCCTTCCACCACTGCAGACAGGTAACTCATCTGTAATTTGCAATCTTCAAGAGCTGCTTGAAATACTGAAAAGTGTCTTATTCCTAGTAATACTGGTTTCATGGTCAAAAAAAGGGACTTAAGCCCAAGTCTTCCTGACTCCAAGGCTGGGCCTCTATCTTCTATGTCAGTCTCTCACATGAATTATATAGCTTTTAAACTTATTATACCTGGGCTAGTTAGCATAGTTCCTATACTCCAACACTGACAATGTGGATGTGGGTACATACTTAGGTACACCTAGGTACAGAAAACAAAACAAAAAAAAGACCCTAAGATGTCATTCTTATCATTAACAGGAACTGAAATTTCTGTTCAACTGGGTTAATGGATCCTTAATGAGGAATCATTGTCAAGAAAAAGAAGTTGGTTATATTTACTTTTTATTTCCTAAGACTATTAATTTCCTGGGAGTTTTCTTCTTTAAATGTACTAAGAGAAGTTGTATAAACAAACGTATAGACAAAAGTGTAATCTTCTTCCTGAATATACAAAGAGGTGAGGACAGGGGAAAGGGAACATAAATACATTTTTTGGAGAGGCAAAGTTAAATATATAATTTGGTGGGTACTTGAAAGTTTCATATCCACATGCAGTTTTAAGATTTTTAGTCTATCCACAAAGAAAAAATAAATTAGGATAAAACAAAGTAAAAAGGAAATAAAAGAATGAGCAAAAATACTGAGGGAATGGTCACTGCCACCTGATGTATGATTAAAATGGCACTAAAAACATTAGAATTTCACAGGCTGACCAAGGCCTTTCTTTTCCTATATAGACCAAACATTTCCTAAATTATGTATTCACAGACTAATCCACATTAAACTAAAAAAGCTAGCTGTAATAAATTAATTTTGTCAGTGGATAGAGCACTGGCCCTGAAGTCAGGAGGACCTGAGTTCAGATCTGACCTCAGACCAAACACTTGACACTTACTAGCTGTGTGACCCTGGGCAAGTCACTCAATCCCAACTGCCTAACCAAAAAAAAAAAAAAAAAAAAAAAAATTTGTTTGTATGCCATCCTTCACATAAGTAGAAATGCTACATACCATACTAATATTTTCTTTTTTTTAAATTTATTTTCATACTAACATTTTCAAAGGCTGAATTGTATCACTGCATGAAAAAATATAATACTGAATGAAAAACACAAAAATTTTAAACTCCATTTTCCTGTTTACTGACTAAAATAATGTGAAAGAACAAATAAATAACTTGAGGCTTTCCTTCGAAGATTAATTATCTGAAATTTACATATCTTTTCTCTACCACCATGTTTCATCCCTCCTTACCTTAAGATCAATTTAGTCCTTTATCCTTTAAACTAAAAAATGAACACGTATTCCATCAGACTTTATTAGCTTTCCTCTTTGGTCCAAATTAATGGTTCTCTGAGATTAGTACAGAAAAATTATACTATCTATGGTTTTTCTGAGTGAATAAGCAACATTAATAACACAGACTAGATAATCAGGAAGGCATTTTAGTCCTCTTTCTGGCCCAGACCTACCAGCCATCATCCAAGAAAGCAACCTCGATGGAAATGAGGTTGGGCAACTGTTTCTCAGGGGGCTGCAGCCCTTACCTCCTCAATACCCATGGCTACAAGACCCAGTTCTTATCACTAAAGTCTTTGGCAATGTCAAATGATTCAACATCAGAAACGGGTATGATTATTGGTAGAAATAACAGTAAGAATTTGATTTACCATCTGCTTTGCCGCTGCCCCTTAGGACAACTCGACCCTTTCTATACTTGCAAATGAAATCCATGTGTTGTTGCCTCCATTAACTTGTGAGCTCCTTGAGAGGAGGAATTATCTTGCTTTCCTATGTGTATTCCCAGCACTAAGCATAGTGCACCTAGTAAGCAATTAATAAATGGCTGATTCATTTATTCATTTCTCTTGCCCCCTAACTCATTTACTATCAGTCATACTTACTTGCTCCCTATTTGCCTCTTATAGTACAGCTATCTTTTTAATATATCTATCCTCTCCCCAACTTCCCTGTAATAAACTGTCTGGAAGAGTACTTTAAATTTAGGAGGACCTCAATAAATGTTTCTGGATTGACTGATTTAGTGGTAAGAGGCTAGTTGATGAGATGTCCTTCAATTCTTTACAGAAGTAATACTAGCCACCCTTATTGTAAGGAACTCTATGGGAGCTTACTGATTATAGAATAAGAGCTGGCAAAGACCCTTAGGTCACATAGGAGGAAATGAGGCCTTAGAAAGATGGAATGACTTGCCCCAGGGAACTGAAGCAATAACTAGCAGGGCCAAAATTCAAACCCAATTCCAGCGCTCTTCCCACTGTATTTGGCTGCCTGCCTAAGAGGAGCACAGCTAACAAAGCCACCTCCTACTTTGGATCAATGTGTCTTTTGATCTTAGGAACTTGGGAACTTTTTGACATAATTGAAGTCAGTTGAGGGAATATCAATAAGGTTGATGTGAGCAGATATTGCCAGATGGAGAAAAAGACCAAGAGCTTAAATTACTACTCTGAGTTAAAGTTTTTCATATTCTAATGAAATAATCTCTGCACTGAAACTGTTATGACTACAGGAGCTAAGTTCCCCAACAAGGACTTAGGCCAACACTCTGTAACAAAATTGGAGATGATGGCTTGATCGACTAGTAACAAATTAAACCTGGTGCTGTTTCAGCTAATGGGACCAGGCAGATTCTTGGTCAAAATGGCTCAAAGAAAGGCCTGAAAATCCAAACTCTAAATGCCACCAAGTTATTCTGTGTCTCTCTGAGGAAGTAAAGCATTACATTCTGAAAAGCTTTCACAAGGTAGGAAATTCTTTAGGGGAGTTGTTGCTTAAAAATTAGAAATAAATCTCCTTATAAACTCACAGGTGACTAAAGCACAGCATTCCACTCCACCCAATCCCCACCCCCTTATTCACAGCTCCATTGTGGTAAGTTAAGGGGAACTCCCCAGAATAGGGTTAATTGGCTCCTGTTATATTTACTTGGAACTTGTAACTGAAAGACAGCCACCAATAAGTAGTAGTAGTAAGAAGGATTTGTTGGGTGTGAAGTGGGAACATGGAAATCATAAATAAGAGGTATGAAGGAGAGTTGAATTTGCTGTTGTCCCACTATAATGCTCCTTAATCACTGACAATGTGATATTAATACTAAACATTACTGGTATTTTAACTGTTCCAGAAACTCTACCACAGTGGATACTGCTAAAAATCAGTAACTCTAGCTTAGTACATTTATAGGCAAAGTTATTAATTCTAACATTCCCCACTTTATATCTTATTTTCAAGCTTAGTTTTCTGTTACTGACATGAGGTCAGTCAATCAAGTATCAGGAATTTAACTATACTAATTTACGCCCAAATAACCAAATGAAAACAACATTCTAAAGCCCAATCCAGGGAAGCAAGTGCTTAGGCAACAAAATAGGCCTTGACACACGGAGCTGCTCTTTACAAACCAGTTATGATAACTATGGATTCTGTATAGCTTTCATATAAATAAACTTGTCTCTCAAAGCTGTCCAAAGTACACACATTAAGACATTCTCACACACCCATACAAAAATTGTTGCTGTTGGTCACTGAATCAAGTACACATACAACTCTGAACAAATGCTTAAGAAAACTAGATTAACATAACATGGAAAGAAACTAAACATACAGAAATTTTAGCTCCTGAAAGGAACTTGGTTTCACGATAAAATTAGGTTAACAATCAGACTTGTGAAGGTAAAAATTAAATATAACCATCAAGTGAATTAAAAGCTCTAGAGTTGTAATCCTATAATCTTCTGAGCCTCAGTCTCTTCATCTGTAAAATGGTGATAATAAATATATGTACTATCTCACAGGATTAAAGAATCTACAAGTTGGAAGAGACTTCAGAGACCCTTTAAGTCCAACTTGTACATGAAAAATAACTCTCTGGGAATCTCTAGCAAGTGGTTATTTAGCCTCTGTGTAACAGCCTCCAACGATTAAGAAACCTCCTGAGGAAGCTCATTACATTTTGCATATCTCTAATTTTTGGCAAAAATTTCTTTATATTATGCCTAAATCTGTATCCCTGCAATGTCTCCCCATTATTCTGAGTTCTGTTTTCTGGAGCCAAAGTAGAAGAATCTAATCTTTCTTATATTTGACAGCCCATAAAACACTTGAAAACAGCTTTTATTCATCCCTACCCAAGTCTTTTCTGCTGCTAGACAAGCTTCCTAAAAGGTGGTAGCCTAAACGAAATTTAACATTCTAGATGTTGCATAT